TGACTTAAGTTAATGTATTCTGGAATTAGGTTTATCAATTATCATACGTTGGTAATTCATCACTGTCATTAATCTAAAAGAAAGGAATTAGTTTGTGTTATATAGTTTATCACAAAAAAATTTCTCACTGATGGACCCTTGCAGTCAGAACATTCAAGCATTCAGAAAAGCTGGGGTAGTTGTTCACCCGGGCTGCTCTCCCCGCCTGAATATATGATTTAGAATTTTTTAAATCATAAGAAACGCATTATATAATTGTGGTGAAAGAAGACTAGAGTCGACCTTTTTCTAGTCTTTATTGTTCATATAACTGACCAAGGGTAGTATGGCATCTGGAAGAGAAGCAAGGAATATTCTAGTAAGTGAAGGGAACAATGAAAATTACTAATACTATACTGTACTATAACCCCAAACAAAACAAAACCCAATGATAAGAAACATAACATATGTACATACACGCATAACAAGATAGAAGCCATGGGTCCAAGTGTACAAGTGTAGCATAACTTTATTACAATAATGAAATTCTCTCTGGGCGTTATAAATGTCCTTTTTGGTCAGTGTAAATAGCGATCCAGCTGGTGTAGAATTTCATAATGACTGTCGACTTTCAGGTAATTGAGTAATAAAGCTTTGTATTATGAGAAGTGAGTCAGCTTGGTGAATAAGACGTGTCTACAGTGACAAAGTGAATGATTCTTGGTGTTTGTTCAAAGAAACGATAATCTACTGGTTTTAAAAGGTAAATGAATAATCACAAACAGGGAAATACTAGAGGGAGGTGGAGGATGGAGATGGAAGATTTGATGTGGACAGCAACGATGGAGAGTTGGGAAGAGCAGGTGTGTAAAATGAAGGTGGAGGTGGGTAGGCAGCCCCAGACGTGTTCGGCTTAGAGGTTCATAAGACACAGGTGTTAGTTTATGTTTAGTGAAGCACAGGTGTTTGGGATGGTTGTAATAGGCGTAAGAGTGTTGGGAATTATTTTAAAGGTGTTTGAGATATTGAGAATGAGAGGTAAGGTAACTCAGGAGTTTGAAACGAGTGGTAAGATAACTCCAGTGTTTGAAACGACCTGTGAGATAACTCAAGCTTCATTATAACATGAGAAAGCTTTATTTACACCATGATCTGAGTCAGCTGTGCCATAGAAGACACGGAGGCCTCATAAATTCTGGGTATCTCAACACCTTCCCCTCATCTCTCATAACATCTCTGAGCAGTTTCGAAAAATATATATGATCATTCTTTATTAAAAAAAAAGATAAATCATACCTTAAAGTGAGTTATAAGACAAGCTGTGAGACCAGGGAGGGATGAAGTGTTAGGAATTGTCACGAAAGCTAAAATGTCGCCTTAGCAAGTAATTCCGCGAGTCATATAAATTCTAGAGGCCGAGTGAGCAGCCAATAGGTGTGTGTGTGTGTGTGTGTGTGTGTGTGTGTGTGTGTGGAAGACCGTAAAGACGGTGTAGGGAGTCAGTGGTTGTGATCGCCGAGCGTTGGAAAATAACATTCATATTCTGGTGTACAGAAGAGCCATGACTACCAACGTATTGTGTTTTTGTCAGAACGTTTTTAGTCAGGCGTTTCTGCTGTCTATAAACCTGTTTTAACCAGACTCCTGAAGGTAAATATGTAATCAAAGTGCTTGATTTTGAGTCCTAATGCTTTTGTTTTTATTCAAGATGAGAATTTCTAAGATGAGCATCTATTGGTGAGTTATTGACACACACACCTATTGGCTGCTCACTCGGCCACTAGAATACTAGAATTTATATGACATTTTCTGTTTGAGGTAATGTACTTGTGTTCCTTTTCTCCGTCCGTCCTTCTCTTTAATACCTAGCTCTCTAACAATGTCTTAACACTGGTGACGTGAGGTGTGGGCGCGGAGAAGTGGTGCAGCCATAGTTGATTCACTTAGTTGTCAAGAAGACCCAACTCCAGCACTTCCTGACAACCAGGGTTCCGTCCTCGCCTTAATGCTCCCAGTGTAGGCTTGATTCTTGATTAGTCTGGCAATAACTGACTGTCTTGTATCTTTATTGCAAATATCCCACGTAGCAATATTCCACGTTTCTGGTATCATATCTTAAATCTCATCAGATAATCGTGGTATACATTGTTGGCTTCAGACGCAGAAACGTTGCCAGAAATAAGAAGTTGTAATTAATTTTGAGTAAAATCTATATGTTTTTACTTTGAAGTTTCAACAGTTCTGAAACAAAAAATATGAATTTTTGTTTGATATGGTATTGTTGTCCGCAGGTGAGCAGGCACTGCCTGTGTGTGTGTGTGTGTGTGTGTGTGTGTGTGTGTGTGTGTCTGTGTATGAGTGCATGTGTGTTTATGACTCCGTGTGTCTATGTTTGAGTGCACGGTGTATGACTATAGGCCATTCTTTTAAACACTCGGGGCAGCAAGTCCGAAGAGCAATCCCGAATTTCGGGTTACTGTTTGGTAACCCGTCAAATGGATTCGTCAAGCTCGAATATCAATCCCGAACATCGGGTTACTACAGTATATAGTAACTCGAACGCCGCAACTCGATAGGGTTGATACGCCTTATCCAAGATAAATGTAAACAAACCAGGTTGATCTACGCGCCAAAATTGAAGCATAATTATGAGTTGTGGAGATAAAAGTTCCTCTTCGAGGGAGAAGGCAGTCACCACCACCAATCGTGCCAGCGTCTGCACCAGCAGGAACACTTGGATCAACTGATCCATCATCAGTTGGCTTATCAACAACAGGAGGTCCACTTTCAACAGTACCACCACCAGCAACAGCAGGTGAACACGGGGAATGAATCAATGCCACTAAAGACACTAGAACTGAATGGTGCTATAGTGGAGACCTTAAAGGCCTTCACTAGTATGTACAATACATTATCAACCCAATCTGTACATAATGTATTTTGAGCAAGCATTAGAGTTGTTGACCAGTGGCATATGTCAAGGGCACAGCGATAATTCCACCTCTGTCTGTAGGCAATTAAGTTAATTTATGGAGACTTTACCGTAAGTGTCATAATTGATAATGTATAAACAAGAGTGCAGCCATAATTCCATCTCTGTCTGTGGGCAATTTAGTTAAATTATGAAGATTTTACCAAGAGTGTCATAATTAATAAACTGATTGTTTTCTATCGCTCTGTTAACTGGTTTTTTTTCACTTTATGGAGAATATGAATCATATTTTTTCATCTTCTAACATTATTTTGTTTTCTTTTACTTCTTGTGAAACAAATAGATTATTTCAACTTATTTTTTGTTATAATGTCAGATACAATATACTGTGATATACTTATTGGGGAAATTTAATTTTTTTTTTATATCTTCATGCTAACCGTTTTTTTACACTTAAAGGAGAATGTGAAATCATGTTTTTTTTTTGTTCTAACATTGTTTTATGATTTTTTTTGTTCTTTTAGTTCTTGTGAAAAAAAAAAACAAAGATACCACGCACCAGCCCTGATCCTTCGTGACGGGAAAGGCAAGCTCGAAAAAATGCAAAATAAAGCCCTTAGAATTATTTTAGGCTGTCCGATGAGCACTAAATTACTAATATGAGGAAAAAACTAGGTATACCCTGTGTCAAAGATAGAATAAATACAACTACAACTAAATATATGAGGATGTTTGGACTAGACAATCTGTACAAAGCTGAGACACAGCAGCGCTTCCTGCCACCCTGGCGGACAATTCCCTTCGATATCACAACACCCACGAACCCGCCTAAACGACTGACCACACATAATCCTTATCTCCAACAAACTGCCAAAGTGAGACCTCTTGACCACATACATAAACTGCAGATTGAACATAACATCACACACACCATCTACACTGACAGCTCTCTTAACACTGTGTGGGGGGGGGGGGGCTGGGAGTGCTGTCATTTTGACTCAGCCTAACGGTAATGTAATAGAGAAAGGAGCTAGAATTAGTAACTGGACATCCACTCTACAAACTGAACTATTTGCCATACTCACAGCCCTGAAACTTGTTGAAGACACTGCCACTGACAGTCTCATCGTCACTGACTCCTTATCCTCACTACTTGCTCTTGATACTGTAGTGGACGTCTCCCCTACAACTGCGTATCGCATTCCCACGCGCTGCCGTATCCTAGCAACCAAGCCAGAGCTGACACCAGATGGTACGGTAGCCTAGCAACGAAACTATTCACCGGCGACTTTCTGGGTTTTCCCAACATGATTCATAGAGGACTGGCGGCTGCTGCTGGGTATATAAGCTCTGTCTCTCCATTGAGATTCATTCTGCCCATCTTCCTGAACAAGCAACACCTCCTCCAGCAAGCTCCACGCTGTCAGCATTCATTCAACCAGGAGGCCAGCAACAGGCAACATCTTCTCTAACGAAGCTCCTGCACATCTACCTCCTTCAACACTCTACTCACCGAACGTCTCTACTGAGCAGCTCCTCACCACACGGCACCTCCAGTACCAGACTGTCTATCATATAACTTATATTATACAAGAAAACCACCTTAGAGTTTCCATCCATCCTGAGTGCTAGACAACATTATACCACGAATACCTACAATACCATTAGGACAAGGTTACGTTTTGTTTAGTTTTGCTTATTTAGAAGGGTGTAGGATCATGATATACGGCAGAAATTGGTATTATTGGAGAGTTTGCCCCTAATCGCATACATTTTTGTGTGTGCTCTTTCATATTCTTGACCCAAAATAGGATGAATGCTATTATTGCAGTTTTTCACAACCATCGAATCGAGAATTTTTCAATTGTGTAACACTTAAAAGGCTATTATAAGAAACCTTTATTCTATACCATTTTCGTCGCAAATGCATAATAGTGTCGGAAATTAAATAATTTATTTACGTAAACACGATTTTAGTACTAAAAAATAGTTTTTAATAACGTAATGATTTGGGACCAAACGCTCTATTTATACAAAGCAATGAAGGTCAAAATCGTTTGATACCCATAAAAACACACTCACAAGAAAAATGTCCATGTTCAAAGAGGTGAGTGGTTGAAAATGCAATTTTATCCAATAAAATAACAACGAAGAACAACCCTTGCAATAGTTTAATTAGATTTCTCTTTAATGACACCTTCCCCTCCTTGCAGATGTGAAAAGTGGTTACAGGTTGCACAACTGTGTTTAAATAAGCCACTCTCAAAACTCACCAGGGGTTTTGTTCTATGCAGCCAACACTTCACCAAGGATTCATTCAAACCACGCAGCTCTCGTCCAAAACTGAAACACTTGAATGCTTACTTAATGTGTTTAGAAATAGTTGTGCTTTTGTTGGCTGACAGTTCTTGTAATAAAAATAAATATTCGTATACTACTGTATTTTAACTTAAATTCCATTTTAATGTATTCCCCCCATACTTTTTGGGGGATGGCTTTATAGTGCAAGCAAACTAATTTGTCAGTTTAAAGGGGACACAAGATTTTCAGTTTATGTACATTGAATGATTGTGAATACAAAGGAGCCACTATTAATAATGATAACTGAAAACACAACCATATGAAATGTTGCCCCTCAAGTACAGTATATACCATGTAAACAAGTCAGTGGAATGAAGTAACACTGCAATATCTACAATGTAAATCATTTACGTGAAATTGCATTGCCTGTTTTGATTGATTTCTAGCATGCCATGCGGTATAATACATAATGAATGGCAATATTCTAATAACATTAACTAGGTAATTATTAAAATAAATGAAAAGTCGCATACTGAAGGCACTATGGGGGTATAGGCGGTCACGAGTTTTAAAGCAGTTACTCCAGAGAAGTTTTCTAATTTCGTACCTTTCTCACACACTAGATGGCGGGGTTTACACGGGGGTAAAAATCGTACTAATAAAGGGTATTTGGTAATCCATCAGAGTTCGCACGGGCTACTCTTGAAGAGCGCCGCGCTTTCCACTCTTTCTTTAACCCTCATTACTCCTGTGCAGGCTCAGAGTTTCATATCAATTAGCTAGTCTGCGACTCTACTGGACTGCACTAGTGTTCTATCGCAGCTTGGCAAATCATTCATCGTGTATTTGAAAATAAAACTCCTGCTATTGATATTTTTTAGGCTTGTGGTATTCTGCCAACCACTGTGAAGTGCTACAGGCGTTCATACGCAAAATATAGAACGGTTGAGGAAGGATATCAAGAGTTGGGTGCTTCGTACCGGCAATAAGAAGGAACATAACCGACAATATTTTGCTCTGAACACGTTCCAAGCCGAATACAACAATCACAAAATAACATCACTTTATCCTCTAGCATCTGTTAATTAAGGTAAGTTTTTTAAACAACAGGGGTCAGGGGGGCTAGAAAGTTAGGTTAGATCCTTCTGGTTTCTCTGGTTAGGAGGTTTCGTTAGGTTTCGTTTCGTCATTTTTGTTCTCGTGTTTTTATCCCACAATTTCCCTCTACTTCGAAGCCCTGCTCACATTGTGCAACCAATATTGTTGATAACTGGGGTCGTATCTCCATAACGGCTTATTTTCGACGGAAATTTGAAGGTTAGATTTGCTTGAAGCACCACAAAATATATTAAGAAAACCTATTTTTATAGTAGTTTCCGTGATCGACCTTTTCCGAATGTGCATCGTTTCTTTTAAATGTAAAACTAAAGTGATTTTTACCTATGTGAATTTTATTTACTTTTTCATTCACACACATATGCCAGTTCATGAACTAGGTAAGATTTCACAAGCGCATCGAAGTAGCAACCTCTGTGTGTACAACCAAGAATGTCTAGTTTAACTTGAAGGTCCTGGGTTGACTCCTGACTTATGAGGTATTATTTGTATATTGAGATCCGCATGCATTTGGACTTATTAGATACTATTTAATAATAATAATAATTAACTGTTTATTGCAAGAATATGGCAGCCAAAAGGCTGGAAATATACCTTTGCATAATTAGGGAATGGGTCACTTGGTTGACAAATAATATGCGTAACATAAGTGGTACAAATTTGATATATAATAAAGAGGGGGAGAAGAACATACAACAGGGAATTTCTATAGTAACAGTGCAAAAGTAAGATTGGCAGGGAGTGAACACACTGGTTAACTACGAGTTGTTGATAATTTTTACAATGGTTGGAATTGGGCTGCTCTTATAGCGTTCAGTATGTGCTCTTATGGGCTGGATGCAGTTGTAGTGTCAAATGGCAGTACGCGGACGAGAAATCTCCGGTGGAAGCAGCAGACGGTGTCGAAAGTGGTGCAGAAGCTTCTCCTCAAATTTGCAGATGAAGTCATGGTGATGATCAGAGAGAGCCGAGAGGGTGAGTGTGTTGAGCGCTTCGTGGTTTGTGAAGTAAGAGGGGGAGAGAATAATTTTGCACGCCCTCTTCTGCACCTTTTCTAAAAGTTTCCGCTGTGTGGCATTTAGGGTGGAAGACCAGACAGGGAAGCATAGGTAAACTTGAAAAGTTTGAAGGTTAAGTAAGCACCGAGGACATCGGGCGCGGGAACTCCAAGGGACTAGAGACGGCGGAGGAGGAGACGAAAACTGGAGGATTTGACAATTGCATTGAGGTGTGTATTCCAATTTAGTTTCTCTCTAGTGACACCACGGAACTTGGTGGAGTCCACAACCTGGGGTGTGCTGGGGCCCAAAGTAATGGAGGGAGGTGGGACAAGGTCATAGGAGAGGATGATGTGTGTAACCGCCCGATGAGCGACTGTGGGATAATGAGACCCTTGCACATAGGACTCGATTGTTCTTTATTCAGTCAAAACCTGCAGAGCACAAATTACATATGTTACATATGAGATAATTAATTCACTCATACGTTCCTTCACTATTAACAACTACATATGATATATTTGAATAGAGTAGGGTGTTAAACCATATAAAAATTTACGTGTTTCGGGTGTAATGTAGGGCTTATTAGTTCCCTGACCTGTTAGCTCACTGGACTAGAAACTATCTTCTGGACCCCACAGGGAGTGAGTTAGTCAGCCCCGAGGCGAGGGCCATCTGTTTCACATTTAACACCGCAGCAAAGTTCGTTGTAAACACTCCCTCTGTCTCTCTCCTGTCTCCCTTTCTATATCCCTCTCTCTCTCTCTCTTCTAGTTTATCCTACTGTGGCGGTAACAATGTGCATAATCCTGGTCGTGGTATGGTTGATGGTGACACGGTTGTTGGCGGCCCAATTTTAGAGACTTAAATATATTCCACAGGGCGCTGTAGTCGGGAGCCGAGTTGCTCATACTTATCCCAAAGTTGGAGTCGTCGGCATATTTCCAACGAGCAGGAATTTCTCCCGGGACATCATTGATAAGCATGAGGAACCAGTGTGGTCCCATCTTGCTGCCTTGGCGGACGCCATGGGTGAGTGACTGAAGAGGTGGAGACAGCCCCTTGGAAGCGTTCGGCTTGGCGTCGGTCACTAAGGAAGTCTGTAGGCCTTGGTTTAAGACTTCTCCGAAACTCGAGTTCGATAGTTTTGTTCCCCAAGGCTCAGTGCTTGGACCATTATTATTTAGTATATACGTCAAATATATAGATATCGACGAAGGCTTTGCTAAAGTCGAGATATACCACATCATAATTGTGCCCCTCGGCCACTGATTCGAAAACAGATGAAATGAATGTTAGTAGATTAGTTAGACATGAACGCACGCTTGTGAAGCCATGTTGGGAATCATTGGTCATCTTGTGCTTCTCCAGGTGATTTCAAATAGAGTTTGAAATGATTGCTTCCAGTAATTTGCCTACAATTAATGTTAGACTGATTGGACGGTAGTTAGAGGATAGTGATCTATCGCCCTTCTTGAAAATTGGTACAGGTTGACAACCCTTTATCCGAAATTCCGAAAAGCTCTGAAAACCGAAAGTTTTTTTGTGGAGCAATTTTTTTTTTTTTTTTTTTTTGGGGGTAACAGCCCACCCGGGCACAGGTCACTGACCCACATCGGGGCCTGGGGGATGAAAATGTAATAGTAATAATATTTATAATAATGATAATACAGTAATAATAATAATTATTCATAGTAAATAAAATTTTTAATAAAAAATACACAAAAATATAATAAGAATGATAACAATAATAATAATAACAATAATACTGTAATAATAAAATAATAATAATAATAATAATAAAGAAATACAAGAATGAAAAAAAGATCAAAAGTGAGAAACACGACCTACAGTAGACCTATGAATTATTATTATTATTATTATTATTATTATTATTATTATTATTATTATTATTATTATTATTATTATTATTATTATTATTATTATTATTATTATTATTATTATTATATTTTAGCCCCAATGTGGGTCAGTGTCCTGTGCCCGGGTGGGCTGATCCCTGTAAAAAAAACAAAAAAAAAAAAACCATTCTGAAAACCGAAAAATTCTAAAAACCGAAATGCATCTGGTCCCAAGGATTTCTGATAAGGGATTGTCAACCTGTATTACATTAGCTATCCTCCAGGATTCTGGTACTACACCCGTTTTTAAGGACATGTTAAACAACTTTGCTAAGGGCATACTAAGCTCTTCTTTACATTCCTTTAATACTCTGGCAAATATCTCATCGGGACCTGGTGACTTATTAGGCTTAAGTTTGTCTATTTGCTTACTAACCTCGTTACTAGTCACTACTATCTCGCTTATCATGTATCATGTTTAAATTTTTGGTGGCTAAAACTGCTGAAAAATATTTATTCAGATTATTGCTCATTTCTCCGTCGTTATCAGGTTGCTCACCAGTATCTGACTGTATTAGTCCAATCTTTTCTCGTGTTTTAGTTTGATACATTTGATAGAACCCCTTGGGGTCTGACTTCGCCTCCCTTGCTACCTTCAGTTCATTATTCCTCTTTGCTTTTCTTATCTCGGTCACAACCCTACTGGCCAATACCTAATAATAATCTCGGAGGTAAACTTCACTCTCGATTTATTCTCCTACCTATAGCCTTCCTTGGTCCAATAATATTCTTTAAATAATTATTTATCCATTTAGGGTCATTGTTGTTTGATTTGAGTTTTCTGTATGGTATGTTCTGCCTTTGTGCATTAAGTGATCCCTCGGTTAACGAACGCCTCGGTTAACAAAATTTCGGTTAACGAACTGCCTTCCATTAGAATCTTCAATTCGGTTAACGAACAAAAATTCGGTTAACGAATTTCTTACGAACCGACCTCAACACGTTTTCGCTTGCACTGGCCGGGCAACCAGCTTTAGTATCAGTCCGCCAATACATTAATCGGTTCTAAGGCTTAAATTCCTTACTATTTTAGTAAATATCAAGAAGTTTATACTATTCAATAATTGTAAAAGTTTAATATTAACTTTTTTAGTCATTTTAACAATTATTGAACATAATTGAAGGTAAAGAAACTAGTTTCTGGCGTGCCATCCAGCCTGTTAACCCACCAGACAGGCGTTAGTCTCTCTCTGTTTTCAGTGGAGGTAACATCTTGCTTGAGACTCTCTTCAACTAAACGCTTTTTTTCTGTGTTTCCAAGCAAATTATTGGTCATTTTGAAATATATTTTACATATTGACAATATATAATGCAGTGCAGTGTTGATTTAAAGAAAATAATCTTGAAATACACCAAGAGAACTAAAATTTTATGGGTGAAATGGTGCCATGGGGTGACTTCACTTCCACCCCAATGCCTTCTCTTCTTCCTTCTCCTCCACCCCCATTCTAATTCCCATCATCATCCTCCAGGAGCCTTCTACATACACACCTCAAAGTAAGTGAACTTTTCTACCATTTTTGTTGAATTTAGGAAATTTTCGGTGAGCTGAAACCAATTACCCAAAAACCCATTGAAACAATGTTTCGGTTAACGAACTTTTCGGTTAACGAACAACCTGCTGGAATGGATTGAGTTGTGGAACTCGTCAACCTCAGATCTCGTGATCAGGTCATCCTCAACCGTCAGGTCTCCAGGTAAGGTGAGGTCGCCCTCTGTGGGTACATTGTGTGAGGTCACCTCATGTGAGGTCATGTAATTCACTCCCAAGCGTGATACCCCTTCTCTCAGCTGCCTGTTCAAACTATCAAAGTTTACCCTTCTAAAATCTGGGACTTAAGTGGAATTTTCCTTGCGGCTGCCCTTAAATTCTAATTGGAATCTTATTTCTTTGTGATCGCTGTTAGCAAGTTCGTTCCCTACCTCGACATTACTAATGAAGATTTATCTGTTTGACAGAATTAAATCGAGTTTATTATTATTGTAAAGGCCTGGGACTTAAGGGATAGAAATCCCTTACCAGACTAATCAGGATCTTAATAAAGGAATGTCAAGGACCATGATTTTCTGAGGAATAACAAACAACCGTTTGAGATTGACATCTCTTTACTATAAAAATATAACACAAAACTCTGACACCACTCAACAAACATCAAGTAACAATTACAGGAGTCAAACAATTTATGCAGTCAACAGTTAATGGAGTGAAACTATTAATGGAATCAAACAATTACTAGGGGTCGACATATGATAGAATCAAACAATAAAAGGGAGTCAGCAATTAAAGGAATCAACAGCAAAAGAATCAAACAATGAACAGATATTTCCTACGGCAGTGGCCCTGGGGGAAGGTTCTGGAACACGGTGATCCACACTCAGGGTAGGGAAGCGTCCATTCAACTCCACACTCGAGCGACAGCAGCCGATTGCACAGGCGGAGGAGATGAACTGACGGTCATGGTATGCGGTGGTGGTAGATGACCAGAGAATTGGCAGTCGATAGGTGAAGGTCTGGGAAAACAGCCCACGAGTCCAGGACCTATGATGAGATCACAGCCAGAATTTGACGAACAGCTGGGTAGCTAGATAGTGACTGTATGGCGGCTGGGGTGAATCTGCCGGTGACACAGGTAGCAGCAAACAAGCGAGTAAGCAGCGGTAACGAGCAGGAAGATAGTTTCCGCCCTTACAATTACCCTGGGTGGGTTGGGTTATATGTTGACTTCGGAAACAATCCTGGATTGTTTCAAGAAAATCCTCTGATTCTGAGTTACCAGTAAGGTCAATCCAATCTATTTGGCTAAAGTTAAAGTCGCCTACTACACAGACTTTGCTATGTATGGAAGCCCTGCGCATTTCATCCCAAATAAGTCGCTCATTAACTATCAAGATTAGGTCTATATATTATACTCCTATGATTAATTTTTCCCTTCCATCGATTAATTCTATCCAAATTGTTTCTGTAATCCGCTCAGTTTTTATTTCTTTATTTATTTCACACTTCAGATTATCCCTAACATAGATTGCTACTCCGTCTCCTTTCCTAATCTGCCTATCGGTATGGAATAATTTGTGATCTGCAATTTGGTATTCGACAGGTAACTCACGTGAGTCTAGCTGTATCCATGTTTCGGTGAATGCTATTATATAGATTTTTTCGGCACATACCAACGCCCTGATTTCATCCATAACTCCCTGCTTTCATCCATTTTGCTTCTCATATTCCTACTGTTTGCGTAGTAAACATTTAAGTTAGTCGTATTCTGAGTCCTCTCTTTGACGTGTTTTGGTTTTAACTCCCTGCCCAATTTTGTTTTGTCATCATCCCTAGCACTATTTCTCTGTAACCTTTCACTTTGTTTACCTGCTCCCACTGCTGTCTCCTCCACCACCGTGCTCATATGTTCCCCTAGCCGTTTAAGGACTTCGACAACTTTTGAACTGCCCTCTGGAGAGAGCTAGCCAAGGTTGTCACCCCAGCCCTTGACAGATGTACCCCATCCCAAGCATAAGGGTCCCTACTGCCGTAAAATTTGTCCCAGTAGTCAACGAATGGGACTGATATTGACTTTCAATAACTGTCAAGACGGCCGTTGACACCAACTGCCCTTGACAACCATTCATTGCCAACTCTCCTTCTAGGCAGGACATATGAGAGGGAATCCTCCCTTCACCCTAATACGTTCGATAGCTGTCTTGAACTTATCAAGGAGCTCCTCACTCCTACACCGGCCAATATGATTGCTTCCTTCACTAAGGCAGATGATGGGTTTGTTCCCATTACCAGACAAGATATTGTCCACCCTGTCAACTATATCTCCTACCCCAGCTCCTGTCAAGCAACCCTTATCCTATTTTTATTTTTACCACTAAAAGCTGTATCCAGGTACCGTACCTGGGAATCGCCAACAATTAAGGTTTTCGTACCTTCCTTGTCAGCCCTGTCCCTGACTATGCTAACGTCCAATTCGTCTATCAAGGGAATGAAAGAGTTGGTACACTTAGCTGTTGTTGTCGTATCCTTGGTGTGTTTTTTCGCCACCAGTTTGGTCGTTCCTCTCCTCACAACCTTCCATCCTCGCTATCACTTCCTTTAATTTCAAGATTTCTTCC